GCGCGGGGGGGGGAAGATGTGATCTCACGGGGGGAGATTGGGATCGGGGGGGAATCGTAGTCGGGGGGGGAATCGCGGCGGCGGGAGAGGAGGAGAAGAAGAAGAAAAAGAAGATAAAGGAAAAGAAGAAGAAGAGGAAGAAAATTTAAAGAAGAAGAAGAAAAAGGAAGAAAAAGAAGAAGAAAAGAAACAAGGAAGAAAAATAAGAAGGAGAAAAAAATAAAATTGTCGTTGATTACTTATCTGCACGAAGGAAACGACGGCGATGACAAGGACGACGCAACGCAGCGACGAGGACGACGGGCATGGTGATGATGACGTGGCATGACGGCGGCGATCCCGTCGGTGGCGATGATGACGGGGCACAATGACGACGATTGCGATGATGATGATGATGACGTGGCACGACAACGACGATTTCGACGATGATGTTGATGATGGTCAGGTGACGACGTCGAAGCAGGGTGGGTCGGGCGGGTTCGAACCGCTCCGATACCAGTGTAACGAGCGTGAGGCTGAGGTGAGCCGAGGGAGAGGAGAGAGAGGGAGAGAGGGAGAGCACACACACACACTCACTCACTCGACACGACGGACTCAGACTGAGGATCGGACGCAGACACAGTGGCAAGGCACAAAGTCGAAGTCTTGGATTCCCGAATGCCGAAAACAGCAAGTCACACTGAGTACGAGTACAGCAGCAGAGAACTGGTACGAGACTAGTCCCCGTACCATACGGGGAGCCAGTATAAGTACCGGTAACACGTACGGTACTAGGGGCATTTCTGCAAAGGCCCCAAGGGCAGAACTGAAAAATGCAGTATTTGAAAGTGGCAGCCGAATTGCAGCATGGAGCCAGTTGTCCAAAATCCTACGGTACCAAAGGAGGGGTTTGGAAAAAGGGTGCCAGGCCGAAAACGGGATGCAGCCGAAACAGCAAGAGATGGACCAAGGATCGAGCCCTGGCGAAGTCCGTAACAGGAGGACTGAGGGGAGAGGGGTAGGGGGAGGGAGGGGCGATCTTTCTTGAATAAGTCTATCATCTGGTTACCATTTCTTTTCATTTGGTTCGCCGCTCGAGGAGGTTGTAGGAATAGGTGTTATCTGGCAGGTCATATGTGATCCTGCGAAGGGTGGTTGAAAATTCGGTCCTCGAAGACCGATGCTGGAGCAACGCTGGTCGGAGCCGGAGCCAGGTGGCGCAACTCTGTGACCTAGCTTAGTGGGGGCGTGAGGCCTGGCAGAGAGCTCTGGGGGGCTGTGTGCGGGGGCAGTCTCAGTGGTCATCGGGGGTCGTAACTGGAGCAATGTTGGCCGGTGCTGGAGCAAGGTGGTGCAACTCTGTAACCTAACCTGATGGGAGCATGAGGCCTGGAAGAGCTTTGGTTCGTATTGAAAACAGCCATGTTGGTGGTGGTCGTAGGTGGATTGAATGGGTTTCACCCTATCTGATTTGTCCGTGGTTCTTATAAATGTCTTAGGACTCTAGGGACTCTTAGCAACCCATCCTAGGCGGTTTTGAAGCGGTTATACTGAATGATCTGCGGCTGTTCGATGCCAGAACGACGCTGGCCGGTGCTGGGGTGTTGCCCTGTAACCTGATGCAGGAGCGTGAGGCCTGGTAGAGAGATGTGGGGATGCTTTGGGGAGGGCATCCCAAGGGACAGCGAAGGTTTGCTGCTGGGACGATGCTGGTCGAAGCTGGGGCGAGTTGTGTTGCCCTGTAACCCAGCAGGGTGGGGGCGTGAGGCCTGGAAGAGCTCTGCAGGGAGTAAGACTGTGTTGGAAAGTCTTAGAAGGGCTTGTTAGGGATCCTGAGGGTTGTGAGCATTCGTAGGACCTCTGTGGCAGCCTATTGCATGAGTAGTTCTTCGTAGGTAATTAGATATTCACAGATTGATCTCAGCCGAAGTCGGGTAATAGCCCCGGTATCTTAAATGATCTCAAATGTTATCAATGATTTGTACAATTCAATATGGGACGCTGGGCCCGGTTCCCAGCACGTGCTGCTCCCCACGAATAGACTGGAGCATTTGTAAAAAAAAAAAAATACCTAGACCGGACTGGCTGGCCGACCAGTACCGTTTCTGTTTCGGCCTCTAGGGCCTCTCCCAACCCGACTATAGGCTATAGGACCGTCTATCAGCTTAGCCCTTTAGGGCCTGTCTATCCTGGGGGTAGCCCGAGTCTGCTATTCGCAGTTAGGATAGCTGTAGGAAATTCAGTTAGTACGGGCCTGTATTTTCCCGTATTTACAGATACGTCCCTCACGATTATCCTTACAGGTAGGTCACTCGGTTAGCCCTCAGCCAAACAAAATTACGAATCTATCCTACCTATGGTACAACCTCGACAGAGAGAGGCTACAAGCGACCAGAAGCAGCAAGTCATTGCATACCTACCCTCCCCCGGAGCGAGGACCTCCGAGCTAGGGGCATAGGCGTGCAGAGCGTCGAAGGGATTCTCCCTTCTGTGATGCCTCAGATCTGAGGATAATAGACTTGGCGGTTTTCAAAAGTTCCTTGCGAGTAAACCAACGATCTTCGGTATGCGGCTGGTATAAGAACTTCACAAGGTACTCCTTATCTGGCCCTGTACCTGACTCATCCTCCACAGATTCCACCTCATATCCCTTGCCAAGAATAGGGGGACCGAACTGAGGAGGCTTGTCTGGAAATGCATCAGCTGATGTGAATGGCAGCAACTTAGATGCATAAAAGACGTGGTAGGTTTGTAGATGTCGAGGGACATCCACTGTATAGGATGGTCCAAATGGATCAGCTCCCACTCTATCTAAGACATTCCACAGACCCATGTATCGCGGCAACAACTTAGGCGAAATAGCCTCCTCTCGTGACAGCTCAAAACTGAGTACCCACACCCAGTCACCTGTGCGAATAGTAGAGGGGCGTCTCTGCCTGTTAGCCTGCTGAATCATAGCCTTTTGGGCTTTGAGCAGATTGGCACGGGCGCGCTCAATGTCCACACCATAACACCTGGTGAACTCTGCAGTTCCAGGTGTCAGCGTCGGGGTAGCCTTATCGATGATGTCATCGAGAGGCTGTTGTGGCTCACGACCCCAATGTAACCAGTAAGGTGTAAAACCTGTGGAGGAGTGTACATGCGTGTTATATACAAGTTGTGCACGACCCAAATGGAGATCCTAGTCCTATTGATCTGGACTGATCACAGGACGCAGCAACTGAAATAAAATTTGGTTCATCACTTCAGCCTGTTCATTGGCTTCAGGATGACGACCAGATGTCATATCCATTCTGGAATGAAGGTAATCATTGCAGTAGGATTGCCATTCATTGCTGCAAAAACGAGGATCTTGGTCACTGACTATAGAGGTGGGTGGTCCATGATGTGTGACCCACCTATCAGCAAACGCCACCTGAACGGCAGGAACGTGAGCCTCGGCTGGTAAGGGGATGAACTCTGCACATTTCGAGAACCGGTCCGCACATACCATGACCTGACGCATCCCACGAGGAGTGGTCCTACCTAAGTTAGTAAAATCAATAGACACTGACTGTGCAGGAGCATCAGGGATAGGTAATGGTTTGAGTAGGCCAAGGGGAGGTTGGCGTACCACCTTGTTCCTTTGGCATAGCTCACAGGTTTCCACATAGTGCACTATGTCACTCCTCATCTCCTTCCAGAAGAAGCGTTGCGACAGGGCTGCATACGATTTGAGGGCTCCAAAGTGACCACAAGCATCATGACACTTTGACATCAGGAGTGTTCTCAGCTTATGGTCTTGGGGAATGCATAGGTGTTCCTCGCCTCTGCTGCAAGTACATAGCAGGTCCGAAACCAGAGTATATCTTGGTTCAGATGCCGGATTGTCTTGGAGATTCCTTACTATAAGCCCAAAAATCGCATCCTAGGGCAGCAACCGGGCAATGGTCTGGCGAGTCTTATCTCCAAATGAGTGAGTGAAGGAGATCAAGAAGAGAACGCCAGGCCTACGAGAAAGGGCATCTGCTACTCGATTGTAGCATCCCTTCTTGTGTCTCAGTTCAAAGTCAAACATGTCAATGAACTGAATATAGCGGGCAAGCTTATCATTCAGTTCTCCCTAGGACTTCATCCACTGTAGGGTGGAGTGACCTGAAAAAATCTTGAAGTGCCTGCGCAGGAGGAAGTGCTTCCAATGCTTGAGCGCTGACACTAGAGCATAAAGCTCTTTCTCATAGGTAGAGTCATGCAGCTTCTTTGTTTTGATCTTCTTGCTCATATATTCGATAGGCTGCATACCATTTCCGGCATCCTGTTCAAGTACCACCCGTACACCATACTGACTAGCATCAGTGGTAAGCACAAAAGGCAAGGTAGGGCCCGGTAACTTCAAAACAGGGGCACGACTCAAGGCCTCCTTGAAACGTGTGAAAGCCTCCTGACACTTTGATGTCCAGAGAAAGGAAGTGTCTTTCTTTGCGAGATCAGTCAAGGGAGCTGCGATAGAAGAAGTTTTGAATGAACTTCCTATAATAAGAAGCAAGCCCCAAGAATGAACGGACATCGCGAATGTTAGCAGGCCACGGCCAGTCCTGAATTGCAGCAACTTTCGTTGCTTCAGGAGCCAAACCCTCTCCAGAAATGACGTGTCCCAGATAGACTACAGAGGGAACCCCAAAAGAGGATTTCTCCCTGTTGATCTTAAACTGGTTATCACGTAAGGCCTGGAGGACCAGAGTCAGATGCTGCGCATGCTCCAGGGCAGATCGACTGAATACCAGGATATCATCCAAGTACAACTATAAATATGTCCAAGTAAGGCCTGAGTATGCGATGCATCTCTGTCTAGAAGGTGCCTGGGGCATTGCAAAGACCGAATGGCATGACCAGGTACTCATAAGTGCCATACCTGGTCTTGAAGGTTGTCTTGTGGGCATCGCCTTCAGCCATCTCAATATGGTGATAACCAGATTTGAGATCGATCTTGCTAAAGATGGTACAACCCTGCACCATATCCAACATATCAATACGAGGAAGAGGCTTTGTGGACTTCCTCGTGATTTTGTTGAGACCTCTATAGTCCACGCACATCCTGAACTCACCATTCCCCTTTGGAACAAAGAGGAATGGTGCCCCAAACTCAGACGCGTTGGGCCGGATCCAGCCTTTGTTGGTCAGGGTCTCCAACTGTTTTCTGAGCTCATCAAGTTCAGCAGGTGACATCATGTAGACTCGATCCCTCCCAAGGGACCGAACCAGGCAGGATCTCAATCTTATGTTTGGTTTGCCTATGGACATATCCACTAGGCTTCTCCATAAGATCTGAGAAGCGGTCAACAACCTGCCGAATTTGAGAGGGACAGGGAGCATTTTGCACATCAGTCTGTTTGACATAAGCCACAAACAGACGAGTGTGGTCAGTCTGGCGTGAGAAACGCAGAAATCTGCAAGCACTCATGCAGTAACAACTGCTGGCCGGATGGTACTCATCAATGAGTATACAAGGGCGATAGACCCCATGCCGGTCAGGTAGCTCAACCTTAGGGATCCGCCAATCGATCCTAGGATTGGTGGCACCAGGCCACTGCATAGAGAAGATAAGGTCAAAGGGAACGTTAGGAAACACGTAGAAATTCAGGCGGTGCCTGATTTCTTCCTGCTTGTCAAAGGTCACAAGTAGGCCCTTGACAACAGTAGTGATCCTGACTATGGAAGAGTTGCCAATGCGAACCTCTATGGGCTGTCGCAATTTCACTAACCTCTGATCCAAGTGCAGTGTGCTGACTGCCTTGGGAAATATGAAGTTGCGAGTAGCCCCACAGTCTAAGAGCCCTTTGATCTTGGCTCCCATGATAGAGGGTCAAAGTAGGATGAGTTCTGACCTATGCTTTTTCTTCTCCCGCAAGGACAGGAAAAAATCAGCAAGGCACTGAGCATCATCCTCCTCCCACGTCTCATCCAGCTTTGAGTCCTCAAAAGTGAAAGACACTAAAGATGCAACTCCAACGATAGAAGAACCAGTGAGAGACTGTGAAGATTTACTTTCCTTAGAAGGGGAATCAGCACCGGTGGAAGGAGCTGCTGCTTCCACCTCTCTCTGCTCTAGTTTTTTTAACTAGAGTTGCCTGTAGACCTACGAGGCATGCTGGGACAGCCCTTTAAGAAATGGCCCCCCTCACATCTCAGGCAGACACCCTTGACCTTTCTCTTCCTCCAGACCCCCTCCTGGATCCTGCATGCATGCCAGGGGAAGGTGGAAGGATCAAGGGGGTCAGTTGGCCAACAGACGTCACGTGGTAGTGGTACTCTTTGGGCACCAGGGGAAGAGGCACGTCTGTTACCCTTCCCTTTGCTGCTGGTTGGTGCTTTCTGGGTTGGGGCCTTGCCCTTAGTCGGGCCCATCAAAGCATCAGCCAGGGCAAGAACCAGGATCTGCAGCAGATGATGAAGCAGTCCCACCCTGGGATGATGCGTCACTATCTGAATTAGACGCTGCAACAGCAAACGGTGCACCCTTCCTCCTTCTACGACCCTTTGAGGAGGGTGCCTTCCTTCCTTCAGAAGGTGCTTCCTGGACATGGAGTTATACTCCAAGTCCATAGCTGCCCTGCCAAAGGACCGCCAGTCCTTGTGGCCCTGAGAGAACAATGTCAGTTGGTATTGCTCTGGCGCTGCACGTAGGAAATGTATGAGCAGATCCTGCTCACTCATCTCTAACCCTGGACTCGATGTCAGACTCTCAAAGGTATAATAGAGTTTGGACGAGGAGCCATCAAATTTCTTTTGGCCCAGACGCAAAATTTTATCTGCTGTTTTCCTGGCCTTCTCCTTGTCTGCAAACCTATCCTGCAGGGCCTGCAGAAAACCAGCCACCCCCAACCTCCGAGCCCAATCAGACATCTCCATCCCCAGCTTGCTGGAAGTGGAGGTGCACCATTTCAGTACAGTCCTCTCCAGGCGAGCGAGGATGGCAGACACCTTTACATCCTCATCACATTTGAACCCACTCAGGTAGGTTCTTTGTGTAGGGACCCAATCTGCAATATCCACCTTTGGGACCTCGCCAGAGAACATGGGTGGAGGGGTCAGCTTGGGCCGCTGAGAATTAAATGGTGCTGAGGGTTGTGAAGGTGCTGTTGATTTGGGAGTAGAGGGAGGAGATGTGTGTCTGGATTGTGGCGGTGATGAAGCTTTCCCTTGAGAAGGTCCAGAAGAAGGAGGGGCTGTCAGAGTGGTAGGGATCTTTAAATGTGTACAGATCAGATCCAGTTAGGCAAAGAGGTCATCCAACTTTTGGGAAAAAGCTGAGTGGTTACTCTCCAGACTAGTGATGTTACAAACTCCGTCAGAGCTCGATCCTTGGTCTGTTTTTTTGTTGTTTCGGTGACATCCCGTTTTCGGCCTGGCACCCTTTTTCCAAACCCCTCTTTTGGAACCGTGGGATTTTGGACAACTAGCGCCATGCTGCAATTCGGGCGCCACTTTCAAATACCGCATTTTTTAGTTCTGCCCTCGGGGCCTTTGCAGAAATGCCCCCGGTACTATACGTGTCACCGGTACTTATATCGGCTCCCCGTACGGTACGGGGACCAGTCTGGTACCAGTTTCCAACTACTGTACTCATACTTTGTGTGCCTTGTTGTTTCAACATTCAGGAATCCAAGACTTTGACTTTGTGCTTTGGCCACTGTGTCTGCGTCCGACCCTCAGTCGTGTCGAGTGAGTGAGTGTGTGTGTGTGCTCTCCCTCTCTCCCTCTCTCCCTCTCTCCCTCTCTCTCTACTCTCCCTTGGCTCTTCCTCAGCCTCGCGCGCGTTACACTGGTATCGGAGCGGTTCGAACCCGCCTGACCCACCCCGCTTCGTCGTCACCACCTGGCCATCATCCGCATCATCGTCATGATCGTTGTCGTAGTGCCACGTCATCGTCGCGATCGTCGTCGTAGTGCCACGTCATCGTCGCGATCGTCGTCGTCGTGCCACGTCATCATCGTCACCGTCGCGATCGTCGCCGTCGTGACACGTCGCCATAGCCGTGTCCGTCGTCCTCGTCGCCGCGCCGTGCCATCGTCGTCATCGTCGTTGCTACCTCCGCGCAGATAAGTAATCGACGACAATTTTCTTTTTTATTTTTTTTCTTTTCTTCTTCTTCTTCTTCTTCTTCCCCTTATCTTCCTCTCCTTCTTTCCTTCTCCCCCCGACGATCTTTCCCCGTCCCTTTCCCCCCCCGCTATCCGCTAGTCCCCCCCCACGCATTTCCCCTTCCCCGCACGATTCTTCCTC